CATGGGGTCATGAAGAGTCGGACACGACTTAATGACTAAACAACAACAAAAGATAAATTAACTTAAGAATATGAATGAAAAGAAAATTTGTCATCCTTTGCAATCCCTGGAACTCCCCTAAGGAGTTTGGGAGGGGGGATTCATCCTGAATCATGCATTACTGAATACAGGAGGCTTGGGAACCATGCAAAATTGGACAGAGATCAGCTCAGTTGGGTGCAATACTTTCTTCTGCAACAGCCTTGCATACCTACAAAGAGGGTGAGCAAGAAACAGAAGGAATATGTCTCTGTGTAGGAATACATTTATTTCTCAGTTCTGAATACTTTCTTCTGCAACAGCCTTGCATACTTACAAAAAGGGAGAGCAAGAAACAGAAAGAATATGTCTCTGTAGGAATACATTTATTTCTCAGTTCTTCCCTCATTGATTACTGTGCGTTCCAACCCCACTAACAACTGTGAGCACCTGCTACCACTGGTGTGAATATTTAATCCACTATCATCTACCCAAGCTGCCCTTTTGTGAGAGAAATGCAACATTATTTTGTTTTATTTATTTATTAGATTTATATACCGCCCATCTAGAACAGTGGTTCTTAACCTTTGTTACTCGGATGCTTTTGAACTGCAACTCCCAGAAATCCCAGTCAGGACAGCTGCTGGTGAAGGCTTCTGGGAGTTGCAGTCCAAAACTCCTGAGTAACCCAAGGTTGAGAACTAGTGATCTAGAACGTGTCTACTAGAACATTACTGGTTCTAATCACAGTGTTTCTTGATCAGTCTGTAGACAATTTCTGTGCACACTATTTCTGTAACCTCTTGCGATCACAGACTCTTAAATTTTCATGTGGGCTCAACTAGAAATGGAAAAGTCTGTCAATTATGCTTTCTTCTACAGATATTCTGAACTTTGCTTATTTTCAGTCCTGAATACCAAAAAATGTGTGACTAAATTCTTAAAAAATGAGAGGAGATGAAATTCTTTCTGCTTCAATAGATGCAGGGATCCATACATGATAAGCCCATCTTCCACTTCCCTGCTATGTGGTATTAGATGAAGAGGGTCAGGGGCGGGGCGGAGGGTTGCCAACCCTAAATCAGCATTAACATGAATACACCCTTATTCAGACTCAAACTTTTACGATTTTAGTTCTAGGAGCTTGGGACTTAGGTAGACAAATCTGTCTCTTTCAGTTTTTTCCACCTGCATTTGATTCCTAAAGAAATCTTAGTGTTTTTCCCCATTCAGATATGAAGACAGTTACAGATTTTGAAATTCTCACCTATTTTTAATTAGGATGGTTGCAGTTTGCAGATGGTGCCAACAGATGGCTCTCATAAGTTTCAGAAATGAATGAGGGCGGCAACTCCAATGAGGCGGGGAATTCAAGCTTATTAAGGGAAGGAAAGCTAGCAACCAGTCGGGAAGAGCACCAGGGCATTCAGCTGAGAGACTTCTCAGAGGTGGACTTAAGACCCTAACAACAGGCGAAGAAAAAAGAAAGAAAGAGGGAATATGGTGCATAGAGAATAGACCAGGTGTCTCCAGGCTGCCAAAGCTGAGAGGACGTCTTCAGTTTCAAGACAAGAGTTTTGTCTTAGCCTTTACAGAAGATCAAGGGACAAGAGGGCAAATTACTCCACGCCATTTGGGCACAGCTCTTTCTTCTGAGGATCAGTGCCTTCAAGGCCTTTGATTGTAAAGGTGTTGGTGAAGACATTTGGAATTATAAGGAGGTGCCTCTCACTCACGCTTACGCTCAAATGCAACAATTGCACCCCTTTTTCCTTAGCCTGTGACAAAAACCTTGGGCTGGTACAGTGTTCAGTTAAGTTTTCGTTTCTTTTCACCACCTCACTCCCCCACTTCATAAGGTTTGTAAAGAAGCCTGGCATATTCTCTCCATCCATCTTTAACAGGTGTGTGTGTAGTTTTTGCTTTTTTTTAAATAAACAAACTTCTGCCATTCTGGGGTTGGCTTGCTATGAAAAAAAAAATAAAGTGTGCCTGAAGAAATCTTCCTGCAATTTATTTTTATTTTTAGTGGAATTCCACCAGGAATATCAGCTGGAAAAACCACAGATCAGTTTTCTTTCTGCTCTTGAGAAGTTGCTGGTGATGCCTAATTCCATGAATCTGTCTCTATAGAAACTCACCGCGTGATGGTGCGCCAGACGATGGCCAGCCCCCTTCTTTCTGCTTGTCCGTTCCAATTATTCGCTATGGGACTGCTAGCAGTGATTTTTTGTGCTGGCTCTGTGGAAACTGAGAAAGATGGAAGCGGAAGGGGCCAAGGGAAGAAATCTGGATGGAATGAAGCAGGCAGCCTTCCTTTGTCATCATCCAATAACCTGGTAAGCTTGTGCGTTACTCTCTTGGCTTGTGCTTTCAGGACTGCTTGCACCTGACCTGTTGCCTTTAAAACAACAAACAATTGAAGCTTCTGCTCTGAACATGTCATAGCACTGAGACTGGGGTGGACACAGGAAAAGACATAAGGGAAGCCCCACAAGCAGTACATCTTGTTTCACTCTGTTATGTCGATGGAAATGCCATAGATTAAATAAATAAATAAATAGTCCATGTCTGTGAGCTCAGAAAGCTTTTTCATTAAAAACGTTAAGAGCTGCACTATGAACTACAGCAACAATCTGTTTTACTTCTGTAGTGCTTCTATTACCGTGTCAATGACGAGTAAAGGAAAAGGGGTGGTTAGAGTGTGCTCCAAGGGCTTACTTTTTATTGTGTGGAGAAATGCGGAGGGCACTACCCTTCAGAAAGGACACTCTGTCCATTTGTTTTGGGCCAGGAAGGCAAAAATAGTATGCATTTTCTCTAGAACATTTAAAACTATAAATGAGGGTGATCTGAGGTTGAGTAGAAGCTTGACAGTTTGTATGTGCATCTTGGCATACATTTTTAAAAAAGGAACAAAACTCACCCCACTCCCTCAACCATTGGAAATGGGATTGCAAACCTTTTCTGAGTAACAATGCGTTGCAAGCTAGGTGGATGAAGAGGATGTATTGCTATGTAGTTTTTATTGTTATATCTTTCTTTTACTTCTCCCTATGTGAAGAACACTTCTATAAGAAAGATCCACCACAATGATTCTCGAGATGCCTGGATGCTCCTTATGAAACAGTCAAGCAGTGGGGTAAACAGCAAAAAAGGGGACAGAAGCAAATCCAAAAAAATGAAGGTAAGAAATAGATGAGTTGACACAGCCTTTTTTCATAATCTATTTGTGTTATGAGTTCTGAATTTTTTTTTCAAGCTTGTGAAGCTCTTGGTGGTTAAAGGACATGATTTATCTAGCCGAGGTTCCTTAGAGAGAGAGAGAGAGAGAGAGACTTAAGGGACAGGGATGCTTCTTGTATTCATGATTTGTAACTGGGGGGATGCAAATAGTAAAGAAGGAGGATAGGTTGTGTGAGTGTATGTGCATCCCTGCCAAACTGAGAGATACTAAGAGCAATAAAGGTAATATAAGAATCAATCATTCTGGGAAACCCATTTCCTATCAGGGATATTGCCAGTGAGGAAACTTGCAGGATCTGGCTTCCCTGGGGACATTCCAGACTTCCCTCCGAATAAGTTCATATTTAAATTGGGACAAATCACATTAGCCTTCTCATTGACAGAGTCCAGAGGGAAAAAAAATGAATATTCTTCCTAAAATGCTTAATAAGAATGTCATTTAAGTAATTTTTGATGGCATTGAATGCCTTTTAAATAACTTTGAACATATTGACCTTCTTGTATTTTTTTTCTATAGTTTCTCATTGCTTTCCTTGAATGACTCATTTGGCCCCAAAACCTCTAGCCACAGACTTGCCTGATACCTTAAAAAGCCACCAAACTGTTTTTTTTTCTTTTTTGGTCTGTGTACTACTTTAGCATTCTAGAGTCAAGTTTAGTTACAGTTCCACTGAGATTCACATGTGGTTCTTGAACTCTTTGGTGAGGAGACATAAGAATGACCTGAAGCAGAGAAATGGCAGGCAAGAAAAAGGTTGTCTTCCCTTTGCTGTCTCCTGCTTCTCTTCTATGACATCATCCCTTGTTAAATTCCCCTGTTTTAAAATTTCTTTTTACATACACACGCCTGTAATGGTCAAAATCTTGCGTAGCTATGTTTGTAACAAAAAGCTGTGCAAGACAGAATTTATATGAACTGCTGAATGCACGTTCATATAATGGCTTAGGTCTCTGGTCGGGGAGCTGGAGGTTGGGTGTTCGAATCCCCACGGTGCCTCCTTGACATGGCCTGGAGTCGATGATCCATAGGGTCCCTTCCAATTCTGCAGTTCTAAGATTCCAGGATTATATCCAGCAAGCCTTTCCATAGGTGCAGTTCCCACCGCTAGTTGCACAGTCAGCCAAGCAATGTAGGCTGCCTAGGCATAACTCTCTGAATGTCTACAGTTGAAACATTATGCTATACTAAGTGAAACTGGATTTTAGCCAGCATGTAATTAGCTATAACATAGTTTTTTCATATATTCTGAAGAGGTCTGGGAACTCGGTTCTCCTGAGCAGCTGGACATTTTATATCCTCCACGTCTGAGACTCTTAGTATACCAGTTAATTCATAAAAGGTTGGGATGGAGACTCATAATCTGGTATTGTAACTTGACTATTGGTTTCCTGTTTTGAACTAAAATGTTACTTTGAAAATGGAAAATGGTACTGCTTTTCCTTCTTCCACTGAAGGGGTTGTAGAGCCCCTTCAATTTGAATAATTACTTAAATGTGGAGCTTGGAAATGTTACATTTTTAGACTACAACTCCCAGCCAGCATGGCTTCCAGCTGCTAGCTATTATGGCTGTGGGGGTTTTATGAGTCATAGTTCCAAAATACTATTGAGAAAAACTCTGCCTTTAAATGAGAAGCAATCAATAAGTAGAAGAATCATTTGGAAGACACGAGTAGTTGTTCATAACTAGACAGATGATGTTTATTCATCTCTGACCAGTAATGTTACAGGTACCACACTGAACAGACTGGCCGCTTCTGCAACTCACATTCTGTCTGCAGTAATCTCAACAGGGCTGGCTAATGTATTTATTTATTGCTATTCTTCCCAGATAAATAGATTTAGTGTCTGAACTAAAGGGACATGGATCTAAATACTGTCCTGTATTTGAATTCTAGTTTAGCATTCCTGGCCCACCAGGGCTTGCCGGTCCACCAGGACCTCCTGGAGTCATGATTACTCGTGAAGAGCTGTTGAGGGAATTCCGAACATTGTTGAAAGGTATGGAATGAATATTGCTTCATCCCAATCTCATACACACTGATACTACCCAGCCAATATGAACAGAATAATGAACTGGGCCCTTAATAAGAGGTGGTTTCGTTGACATTGTGGTTGCTTTGATGGACCTTCTGGGTTGTGAGATACACTCGTTTCAGAATTCTTCAATTATAACTTCAGGTTAAAGATCCTCTTAAAACAAAATATGAAACAATGCTTTTATTTTTGTCTCTAAGTCACATGATTTTAGAATTTCCTGAACCCCTCAAGTGTCATAAAACTTGCAATTAAATGTTGGTTGTTCCTGAGGATCAGTGTGATTACTAAGTTAAAATTTTCTGCTCCAAAACAACATTGTACTGAAATATGGTGACCCACACAGTGTCCTCCATTATATCCTAGCCCCCTTTCTGATGAAATAATACCTTCTCTGTTATAGAGGCTTTGTGGTTTTATAAATTATTGATCTATCTATTGGCCAAGCAAACAAAATCTGTTCTATATATCAGCCTTTACATACAGGGTTCAATTCAGCCTGTGGTAAGATGAAAGAGCAGTAAGACTGTCGCACTTTGGAAAAGTTCCTTTTGGATTTCCAGAATGTTGTACCTAGGAATGGTCATTGACTGTGATGGCTAGGAATTTCTGGGTCTTATAATCCACAGCAGTAATACTTCCCAGTTCTCTTGATTACAATCTTTTATATTAGCTTCTCTTCTCTTGCTTTGGCTAAATACAAGTGGATGAGATTTCAACCCTAGCCTACCACATAATGGTTATATGAATCTGTTTCTGATTGCTTAGGGGCTATCAGGGACCGCGAAAGGATCAGTCTTAAAGCCTGTGAAAACTGTGAGGAAGAAAAGAACAGGGGTGGAGAAGAAAGTAACTTCTTTGCTCAGTTCCATGATCCACTGCTAGAAAGCAGAGAGCAAGGGAGAGTGGTGGCAGCATTCTACTGCCGAATGCGGAAGAACATTTCAATTGAACGACGCTCCCTGCAAGAGCTGCAACTCTATTATATAGTGAGTAGAAGATGAGGAGGAAATTATATTCAGTTATCTGGATGCATGTCTCTTGTGTTGACCAATGCCTGCATATATCCAGAAGGGCAAAAGTAGATGTTGTCTCAGTACTGTACTCCTAAAAATAATATAGTGGCAAATTTGGAAACGTTGGTGCTCATCATGACAGTTTTCTTACCAACCCTGCCCCCATAATAAGAAAACTTCAGAAAAATCAAGCATCTAGATATATCTGTATTAACAAATATGGAGCAGGATTTATGTAAAATTAGTGACTGTTTGCTTTTCATTCAAGACCAAACCATCCCCAAACACTTTGCATTACAACACAGCTAGCTAGTATCAATATATTGCTCCTGGGGAGATCCATTTCTCTCCCAGGTACAAGGGGGACTTCAGCTAAGCTCAGAGGAAACAGGGAGACTGGAGGATGAATGGTGGATAATGTCATAGCCCCAATTGCAACAAACATTCTGATTTTAATGAATCTGTACCAAGTACAGTGGTGCCTCGCATAACGAGCGCATCGTTTAACAACGAATGCGCATAGCAGTCTATTTTTTTAGATCGCTAATGCGATCGCATTGTGATGTTTTAATGGGTAAAACATCGCATTGCGATGATAGGTAAGCGTTTCGCTTACCAATCTTTGCATTGCGATGTTTCTTGAACAGCTTATCGGCGATTCCAAAATGGCCGCCAAATGGCCATCGCAACCATTTTCACGCCCTGCCCTCACTTACCGAGGGCGCGAAAATGGGGGCGCTATGGAGGAACTTCGCTGAACGGTGAGTTTAGGCCCCATAGGCTTTTTCCATTCCGTTTAGCGATGTTTCCTCCTAGCAACGATTAATCCGGAACGGATTAACGTTGCTATGCGGGGCACCACTGTATAATCATGTGCTGTTGTGTCAATTGTGATTTAAGGCAACTGTTTTCAGGATTTTCCAGATAGAGAATACTCAGAAGTGGTTTGCCATTCTTTTCTTCTGGGGATTCTGCAGCTTGACCAAGGCTTTGCAGGTTGGTTTTGCTTGAAGGAGGAACAGCAGGGATTCAAACTCCCAATCTCTGGCTCCGCAGCCAGATTACATATGTCTAAATTTAGGTCAAAGTTATTGCCTCCAGCTGTGTACCACACTAAGCATATGTTAACATCTTTTTATATAATATATCTCGTATCTGTTCCCAAGGCCTACTTCTGATCTTCACCCTTGAGCACAATAAAGAAAGCTGGAAAGATTTTATCCCAAACTTCATGATCCTTTTTTGTTTCGTTTTAGCCTAAAAATGGGGAGACATTCCACCGTGGCCTGGGACTAAACCTTACTAGTGGGCAATATGAAGCACCTCTCAGTGGATACTACATCTTCAGTGCCACTTTGCATGTGGGTAGGTTTACAGCTGAAAAAATCTGCTAGATTGGGTTCTTCAGAATAGAAATGTTCATGGGCAGGAGGTGGCAGGCCATTTTCTCTGTTTAACCAAACTAATGTTAAGCTTCTATTTGTTTTTCAAAGGGAAGTTAAGCTTTTCCTACTCTAGAAATACAAATATGGAAAATCTTCCCAGCCTGATATTTTCAGCTATACCCTGATAAAACATTGCGGTAATACAGAATCATAAAATTACAGATAAAATGATGGAAACGGATTACAAAGAGATGACTTGTCATTTCCTAAAAGATGTGCTGCTTATCTAGCAGCCTCCATCCCCTTTAAAACATGCCTATCATGCTCAACTAGATTTTCCATTTTTGCTGAGTGTTACAGGGATAGGGGTGGGGAACAACCTAACCATGGGAGATCCCAAACACTAGTGTGTGTTGTGTTGTTCAGTATATTGGCCTGAATTATACTGCTGTTTGCATAAAGTTTAAATAATTTGCTGCAGCTAATTGCGGTTACTTGAGAACGGACTGAGAATTGTGCGCCTGGTTATGCACCTCATGTCACAACCAAGATACACTCCAGCATCTTAACAATTAGCAAGTTATGCAAAGCTTCTACGATACGATTCCCAACATTGTGTATTGTACAGGGTACTGTATACTGTGTGATAAAGAAGTACAGTGCAGAGAAACTGACACTTAGATGGGGCTAATAAGTTGGCTAAAGCAATGAGATTCGATCATATTCGGTAGCTGGAGCCAAGACTGCTTTCATTCCAACAGCAGCCATGATTTATGCTTCAGCCTGGCTTGCCATTGTCTGTTTCAGTTCCTGAGAACCATCCGAAGAAGAATCGGCCACATTCTCGGGATCGGCTGCGCTTGCTGATCTGCATCCAGTCACTCTGTCGCCAGAACATGTCAGTATGTGTGGTAAAAGCAATCTGAATTAGGAAATCAAATAGCCATACATTCCTTAGTTTCATGCAGGTTGAATTGTCTGCGTCTTTGACAATGGGCAACTGGTAGCTGCATATGGTAGGAGACATCACACTAGGTTGAATGGCTCTAAAACAGGCTCAGAAAAATTCATAGGGCTAAGGTAATGAATGGCTACTTTTCTTGATGATTATGCCTCACTTTTAGGAAAAAAAGGCAGCATGGATCCAAGTGCAAATTCCTGGGAAACCTGAACGGGAGGGTTCTACTGTGCTCACGTCCTCCTTGTTTCTCATTGGGCATTAGAGGTGTGCTGTTTTGGGTTTTTGGACTACAGCTCCCAGAATTCTTCAAGAATTTCTCCAGGAAGAACTCTGGCTGCTTAGAAAAACATTTAAAGACCAGCTGTACTCAATGGTGCCTTTTCAGCCTATTGTGCTTTGTAAAACAGAAAGCTGCCTGGCACTGTCTGGGAATCATTCTTGTTACTGGGAGTCATAGTTCTATGGGAAACACCCTCTATAGATCCTAATGGGTAGTGGGACTACAATTCCTGTTGGGGAGGTTCCTTGTTTTAAAAAGAACAGGCCAAAGAAGACACCAGTGGAAACTAAAAAGGCACCAATGGGAGCACCAATGGGGGTAAATAAGTGGACTCAGGACAGCAATTCCCAGAGTTCTGTCTGGGGGATTATGGGAGCTGTAGTCTGAAAATACAAAAACATCACACCTCTGCTGGCTGTTTTGGGAACAAGATGCTGAACTAGATATATATTTTTATTTAATCAGCAAGGCTCTTCTCAGTCACATACCTTTGTAGTCTTAAGTGATATCTATCACTGGAATTTGAACCACAAATTCCAAACTAAATCAGCCTGATGGATATGAGGTCCAGATCAAAGTGGCATGGCCAGATTTGGTTCCAAAGCAAAAAGGAGCATCCTTACAAATCTATTCAAATCCAGAGTACACATTGAATTGGATGGGGCACAAACTGCTTCAGCTTACTCTTGGAAAAACCTCTGAAACCAAGCAGAAAAATCTCTAAGGCGTTTTGATCCGTATCCAATCACTGTTGCCAGAATATGTCTGAAATGTGGCAGGGTTACTCCCCTCATTAGGGTCTTTCACATTTCAAAATTTCATGTACATCAATGGAGAAAGAAAAAAGTAATTGGTGTTTTGGTTTTCCAATGCAGTGACGTTTACAATATTAAAATCAATTTGGATCTGGAGCATAGATTGAATTGGATTGGGCATAAATAACGCCAGACAAAATCAGGATATATTCCAAAGCCTGAAACTGACCTATAAACCAAACTTGGGGAGCCTTACCCAGCCCTGTCTCCCACTGCAGCTAATTACTTACCACCTCACATGGAAAACACCTACCTAGGATAAAGTGCATTTAAACAGACTTATAAAGGAAAGAGAGAGCAGGAAGTGAGAATTAATCAAACTATATGGTTCAAAGGGTCACGGCATATTTTACTAAGTAAAGAGATTCTGTTATCTGTATCTAATAGTTTTGATTAAGATTGTGGTATCTCTTGCTTTCAGTTCTCTGAAAACAGTGAGCCATTTGGACAAAAGCAGCAAACATTTCACTATTTCCGTCAATGGAGTTCTCTTCCTGCAGGTGAGTATCTGCAAACAAACCAGTACATAAGGCAACACTATTAAAAGTCATATAGGGAGAATGACCAACTTGGTCTGATATAAGAGAAACGTTTTCACATGGAGATAGCAAGAAGCCATCTTATGACTCAGTTTTAACAAATCTGTTTTTTTTTCCTTTTTTTGAACCTAAATAACAGGTACTAAAGTGAAGGAACTGTAGATTGTTAAGGTAAACAAACAGTAAAACAGCTTCAGGCAGACAGAGTAAGGAGGTTTTGTTAAAGGTGGCAACAGGAGTAGGCACCTATAAATAACCCCAAGCCTAGCATTCAGTTCAGTGCCAAAACGTTTCTTGGTGTGTTTACGCTTTCACCTTTAAATTTTGTGTTGCAGGCTGGCCAGTATGCTTCCGTTTTTGTAGACAATGCCTCAGGAACCTCCCTCACTATACGACGTGGCTCAGACTTCAGTGCTATCCTTTTGGGCATCTGACTGTCCCCGTAACCCACTTTTCCTTAGGCTGAAAGCTTGTCTTTACCAGTGCTCCATTAAGCTTTTCCCCCTGCAATCAAGTCTGTGGACTTAGCAACACTATAAGGAAGACACAATTCCTGTTTGTGCAATGGAAGCAAACCAGAGCCACTCCTCAGTGGCTAAACATGCCAAGGTGAAGAACTGGGTTCAGGAAAACTGGCCAAACATGAGGTCGAACTGAGCAACAAGATGTTCAACAAATTTATAAAGGGTGAAAGCAAGTGATGCAGGATTACTGCTGTTAATCTAGAATGTTCTGTATATGTCTACTGTTTGATATTTCAGTTTCAGAGGAATCCTCAAACCTAGTTTATTTCCATAAGTAAACATGTTGTTCCCTACTCAGCATGAGACTTCACATTTACACTTTTAGAAGACCCAGCTATCTTATTAGTTCAGACATTTCCATACTAATGTTTCCCACATAATACATAAACATTTTGCTCTTTGTGTGGGACTCTCTTGTCTGATCACTTCTTTATCCTAAAGTACAATTCCACTATTGTTTTGTACTTCACATTACCAAACTCCTTTTTTTTAGCTTTGACAGATTGCCTTCTGTATGATACCAGTTACCTACCTTGGTTGTTTTTTGATAGAGATATTGGGTTGCTAGCAAAGTACTGGTAGCCAAGCTAGCTGTTCTGCTGAAGTCAGTCAGAACACCTATGTACTGGTAGCCAAGGCTACTAAATGGAAGGAAGGTCATACATTGTGCTACCCAAAGAAACAGATTACATTTATCAGAAAAAGCATACGTAATGTTAGTATTCAGGCATGGGGTGGTGAGATGGGGGACTAAGAGTACTTCATTTTCTTAGTAATTACCCTGTTTCCCCGAAAATAAGACCTAACCTGAAAATAAGCCTTAGTATGATTTTTCAGGGTGCTCATAATATAAGCCCTACCCTCAAAATAAGCCCCAGTTAAATGAAACTCCATCCTTCACCTTTGTGCAGCAACCAGAAGATGATATGACTGTAAAATAAAATATCCCTTGAAAATGAGCCCTAATGTGTTTTTTTGAGCAAAAATCAATATAAGACCCCTTCTTATTTTCAGGGAAACACGGTATCATCATAGTCTCTGTGGTGGCTGGAACTGCAGTGTGATATCCAAGCAATCTAACACAGTATAGCACCACCTTGCACTCCTACGGCAATCCTGGCACGTAGGCAGACACATAACCTCATCTGTATTTATTTTGTTAAACATTTTCAAAGAAATTGGGGGAAAAGCAGACACTTATCTATTTTAGCCTGAGAAGATACTTAGGTAACAGATCACCCCAGCTGCTCTTTTTTACATAATCTCTCCTGACAGGCAATCATTAAAACAAAAAAACAAAAAAAACACAACTAAACATTTTTCAGCCAAGTACACATATTCTCGAAGGCTTGTTCCACACTGAGGAACATTTGATAGGACGACTTCCACTGGAACTCCAGCACCAACTGGATAGGAAGATTTATTTCTAAGCCCTTGGTACACAACAGAGATGTAGCTACTCATATTGAGTCACTACTAGTATTTGGAAATCTTGAAACACTACCTTTTGGGAATTAGCCACTAGAGAATTCAGACAGAACTGGATAACTGAGCCTTCTTGTTCATGAAAAGTACCCTGCATGAAAAAGCTGTCATGCCAGGAAAATGTCTAACTTTGCCTTAACTACCAGCTTTCTATATGGGAGAGATTTGTATATTCCAGTGTAGAAGAAGATATTCAGAGCCAGAACTCCTAAACCTTCATTATTCTTAAGAGTTAAAAATGGAATGACAATTAGAAAGCAGAAGCATTCACAGCAGGTTTGCTGCCAGTAGCTAACACTCAGAAGAAGTAATCCCTTTTGGGGGTATTAGTTACTGGCTGCAGGACTATTAAGCTAAAATATACTCCTTTTGGTCCCACCCTTGAGGCTTTGACTCCTTCCACCCTTGGGATGCCTTTTGCCCTCAAGAACAAATTCTGTAAATGAATTTGGTTCTTGGTATGAAAGTTTCCACCTTGCAATAGCCATCAGGATTGAGGCTGCTAAATATATTAAGCTGGATGTTTCAAAAATGCTAAATTCTCAGTAAGCTGGCACCCTCCCTCCCTGTTCTGGAAATGGCATGGAGTCTGATAAGGACATAATGGTGCCCTGCCCTGCTACACAATCAGCATGAGCTCGCAGCTGTTTTGAAATAATGCTTAGATCGCTACTTACCAGTGTGCATTTATATATGTATATGTGTGTGTGTGTATGTGTGTGTGTGTGTGTAGCACATATATAAGCTATTTAGTATTTATTGTACTATATCAAGAAATATATATTTATGCATGTACTGCTACATGTGTTTTATTTACTTAGAGTATACAAAATGAAGTGGCTATACCATCAAAAGAGGCAGTTCTGTTTTATAGACTAGAAAACTGAATAAAATGTGGGTGGAGGACAGTCCAGCACATCTTCAGTGGAAATGACAGTAGCTAGGGAAGATCCACTTTGTTTTAGAGCTATTGTTTTCCCCATATTCTTAGTCTATTTATACTTCATTCTGATTGGTTTGATATGTGTGCATTCACAGAGGCACATGGATCTAAGCTGTAGCTCAGAAATGTTGTCCTTCAGTTATGACACTTTGGAAATCTGAAGGGAACAGCCATCTGCAATCATAGAGGCTACTCAACAGCTGAGATCAGAATTTAAATAACTGCATGCACATCTGTTTGCCTGAAAAAATCAAGTTGTTCCTTGCATGTGCAAGTGAACCAATGCTAGTCCAATCACCCAATGTCAGTTCATCCAGAATGCTTTTCAAGTGCCAGTGTCCAATCACCCAATGTCAGTTCATCCAGAATGCTTTTCTAGTGATTACTTGTTCATTCAAGTGCCAGCAATCTAATAATGAGATGCCATGACAGGTACATGCATCTGTGAACCTTGAGAATCCCTACAATTTTTGTTTCATAATCTTTTGCAGACTGAACCAGTGTGTAAACTGTTAATGATACAATCCCCACTTGCCACAAAGACAATCCAATGTCAGTTCATCCAGAATGCTTTTCTAGTGATTACTTGTTCATTCAAGTGCCAGCAATCTAATAATGAGATGCCATGACAGGTACATGCATCTGTGAACCTTGAGAATCCCTACAATTTTTGTTTCATAATCTTTTGCAGACTGAACCAGTGTGTAAACTGTTAATGATACAATCCCCACTTGCCACAAAGACAATACAATTAACCTCCCAAAAACATAGAATACAAAAGCTAGCATTACACAAATGAATCCATCCTACACCAAGTGTAACCCCCACATTACACAAATGAATCCATCCTACACCAACAAGTGTAACCCCCCCTACACTTTTGCTAGTCTCAGATATTTGTTTCCTAAGAAAGCCAGATTTTACATGTACTGTATTAACTAACTCAGTACATTAATACCTGCACACCAGAAAGTGTACATTTCTAGTCTCAGATATTTGTTTCCTAAGAAAGTCAGATTTTACATGTACTGCATTAACTAACTCAGTACAATAATACCTTCACACAAGAAAGTGAGTTTCGTATTGACAGATAAGGTACATATTGGCTTTCATCGTGTTCAGGAAGGAAGTTTTGCGTTAAGCGAGGCACCACTGTATTGGCTTTCATTGTGTTCAGGAAGGCAGTTTTTGATGGACACAATTTAACAGCCATACAAGAAAAAAAGAGAGAGCATCCCATTTAAACAGAAGTCATGGAGAGCTATCCATTGGGATACTCTTTGTCCACATACACGTATGTGTGAATGCCAAGACTTGCCTGTATCCATGTACGAACCTGTTTACAGTAATAATTCCTGGAAAAGAACTACCAATTCATAACCTCAACCAAGTTTCTCAAAATACACCGCATTCTGAACTCTGAATTAAAATTCTAAGTCACCAATCTCAGTGGCTGAACACATCTTGCATAGTTATGCAAACAGTGTAATGTTTAGACACAAATTGCCATATATTAAGAAATTTTCACAGGCGTTATCTGTTGCATGCCAAGTCATGCAACTTTGTATGTAACAGATAATGCCTATGGAGATTTCTTCGCTTCCAAACCTTACATTGTTTGCAAACCTGCATAACAGGATTTCAGCCTGTCAGTTCCTTCTTCGGATGCCGTTTAGCATTCTTCTAGGAAACCTGAGTTGTTATGGGCATAAAGTAAAGGATTCTCTCATTTGTGTTAATGTTCTTTGATTACCTCTCATAACAAAATAGGAGTATGGAAATCTGGTATTTTAGAAAACAGTTAATATCTGTATTTGCCTGCTTCATAAATGACTGGATCCAGGCTTGATTAGAGAAAGCTACCTAAAATAAACAGGAACTCTGTTTTGTGACGACTAACGTAGATTCTGTTGGAGTCTACCCCAAGTATGATTAATTCTGGGTACAAAGTCAGACAGTTATACCAATAGCCCAACCTTCTAAGGATTTAAACAAAAGCTGGTCCCACTAATTTACATCTGGTATAGAATTATAAAGACAGCAACATCCAGAATAAGCATCCATCAACCTCAAATCCAAGGCAGAGTCCATGCCCCTAGAATCTAGCCAAAACCATTCACACTTTGTACCAGTGGTGGTCAACAAGTGGCCTGGAGTCACAACTGCATGCCTACCAGGTTATTATTGTGTCCTCTGGCCCTCCCCCAGTCCTCTTCTTCTAGGAAAAAAAGGTGAACTGTTACTTTCAAAACATGCTTCAGGTCTCCCATGCACCTGTTCACATCCTAATATACTAGTATTTCAAAATGAAAGTGGCCCAGTAGACACTTTCAGTTCGATTTCCTCCATCACCACACTTGGGCATTTCTGGCAATCCGTTGTTTTGGGAATGCAAAAAAGCTGCCTTAGACCTGCCAAATATGTTTGGTAAGAGACAGTACTATGAACAATACAGCTAGTGAGGATCAGTCTAAGAGATCTACCCATCTAACAGTGTTAGACGACCCCACCTCATTCAGTTTGATCCCATGAAACAAGGAATTGATCCAAACAGATAGAAAAACAAACAAACCTTTTATTTACAAATAAGACAATACAAGAGGGAGAGAACACACCAAAACCCTAAACACACACACGCACAAACTCACAAACACACTAACTTGTTTGCTTAAATCCAATGCATGCTGCTAAGGACCTCATTTACACATATTCTTCCATCACTGTTCAATCCCGACAACCACCACTGTGACATTATCTGCGGATCCTCGCTGCACTGCTTTGTTGGCCAACCGGTTACAGGCTGCTTCATACCGAGCATCAGTGGCTGACTTGGGATCTCTTGCAGGAATAGTTTTATCCTGTTAAAAAGTGGAACATAATGCACAAGATGGATGGTTGCTACCACGGTTATATTTAATAGGAGAGATGTAAGCTCTAGTTTTTTCCCCCTCAACTTGTAACTTGATAGAGGCCAGACCATCCCATTTTTTTCCTGCAGCAAATATTTATTTACAAGATTTTTTTAGCCGCACCATTACCAGTGGTCTCTGAGTGATGTACAACAATATTAAAACTTTAAAAACATTAAAACCATTAAAATAGGAAATATAGTAATACCCTATATTAAAGTTAAAACTTTAAAAACATTAAAACCATTAACATAGGAAATATAATAATACCCTATATTAAAAAGTCATTAAAACATTAATATTAATAAATCCTGCTGCCACCCCCCAATCTCCTATCAAGGTGCACAGTATCTAAGGCTAGTCATTTGGGACAGATATGGTAAATCCCACAAATATTTATCCTCCGTTTCAAGCAGAAGGAATACAATTATAATAATTGCAGGCCTTTCATGACAGCCAGAATTCTGCTATAAGACAGAACCTCATCTTTTAGAATTCCCTTAATTGCAATTAATTACTAGCCATCACTTGAGGGGATTTTGTTGAAAAACACACATCATGCAAAGCAAGCAAGCAAGCTGTGCACATTTTTCCAACCTGAAAAAGGAACTTTACTGCATTCAGACAGGAGGCAAAATACCCCACCATGTTACCTCAACAGTATTCCTATATTCTGCCTTGTTCACATTTCCAGCTTTACAGTGCTCGCATGTAAAGTCAGAAAGCAATGTTCAGAGCATGAGAGTCAGAAAGCTTGTTCACATTTCCAGCTTTACAGTGCTCACTGAGAGACAGAGAGCATGAGAGTCAGAAAACAATGTTCATTCTCCATATTCTGTGAACACCAAGCAGGGCTGCCACTAGAATTTTGAAACTATGAGTAAAACTGTGAATAATTATTTTGAAGCTCTGGGTAAATTCAGCAAATGTGGCAGCAAATAGAGAAGAAAAGAGAAGTAAGAATAGTTGTTGTGGGTTTTCCGGGCTGTTTG